AGTGTGAGCGCTAACTAAACTAGCATCAGCAGCCAAGTACTGCCTGTGTGTTCTGGACACTTCTACCCCGTCAGAGCGCTCCGACGAGGTGGAAGTGGCCGGAACGAGCACAAGCGCACCGGTCAATTAGGTGTGAAATCCAGTGATGTGTAACAATACACTAGTTATTATAACAACTATAAACAATGAATATTAACAACTAATGAGCCTTCAAGCATCAAGCCCTCCTTGTATCTGGACCTCCGTCTTGACAATCCGACATAAAAGAAGGTTTAGTGTCGGATTATCGAGTCACGACTGTATTTATATGTGGTTTAGCTCATCAATGTTCTGAGTATTTATCGTGGAAGAAGAATTTTTTACGCAACCAAAGTGGTTTTCTTCCAGCTATTTTTTCATGCAGCTTTGTCCATCTTTAAAACCACATTTTTCTTCGTGACATTCATCATGTGACAAACGCTGATATGAGGCAGAATTTCACTTATTTGTCCTTCTATGTGAGCTCTCAATTAAAGAGCCACAGACTCACAGCTTTGATTAAATAAAGCATGTGCTGGAGCCGTCAGTGAGAAACATGCACGGTGTCAATGTCAATACGACCATCTGAGAGTCATTGGCCCATTTACGCAACACCAAGCAAGTTCCAGCCGTAAAGAGCCAACTTCAAAAAACAAACACATGCTTTCCCCCAAGGTCTGCGGGGCGATCTGTTGCTACGGTAACACTGTCCACAAAAATCAAAGTCCAATCTGAGTTGGTAAACCTCCATCGGGTCTCCTGCAGAAAGGAAACCAAATCAATCCCATCCCGCTGACGACCGTTTCTCGTGGCTCCGGAGGGGTTTGGCGGCATGTTGTGCAACTGCGTTTCCTCGAGGAGCAGGACCACAGACAGCCTCCACTGAACTCATCATCAACTGGTGTCAAACGCCCTCCTGGGGGAAGCTGTCAAACCCCGGAGGCAGCGTGACAAGTGACACATCGGAGAGTTTTGAATGTGCGACTTCTTATCGCTTCCCCCGTTCGTCTCGAGTTTTGGCCGCGGCCTTCACCCGCTGAACTCTGCGACATCTCGCTTCGCACGGCGAGCCAGACGAGCAACGAGGCTGCAACGGGTCTCTGCTCCGTGATTACTGAAAAAATGAAAACCACGAGTGAAGCAGATGGAAAGAGGGAGTGAAGGAAGAGGCGACAGAGAGAGAAGAGGGGGGAAAAAGAGCTGAGAGGAAGATGAAAGGTGTTATATGGGATGTGATTAGGTGGAGGGATAGAAAAAAGGTAAAACTAGAGCCATAAAAGAATAAAAAACTGAGTAAGCGCTTGTGTTATTACTACAATTATGACCTGATGTATTAGTCAGATTATTACTGACACTATTAGGAGCAGCATCAGTTCCATTCATTTGCTTTTTCTATTATTTGGCTGACAACAAATAAACTTTTTGAAAATCATTCCCACATATCTATTCCTTGACATTTAGCTGAACAGGAGGGTTGCTTTTTCTGTTTTATTGCTGCAGTGTTATTGATTTTATTACTTTTAAACAGTTCTTTTGTACTTTTATAGTGTAGTTTTCATGGTTTTTACTATTTTGATGGCAGCACATTTTGGTCAGCTCTTTTTTTAAACGTGCTTTATGAATAAAATTAACTTTCCTTGACCTAACCTGAATATTAAATATTAAATAACGACCTCCAAAAATACCTATGAACTTACTATCTTTTTGTTGAACACTTACACTCTTTGCTAATGTTTTATATGCTAAATGATTAGCTGAGAAAATAGCCTGCAGATTTCAACATTAAAAAGAGCATCGATGAATAATTCCGAACTGCTAAACTCGAGAACAGCATGAATCTATTTTTTATTTAAATAATAAATGTTCAATAGTGTCTCTTGGATGTTACTCGGTTCATTTGAAAATTAAATATTGTAAAGAAGAATGAGCATGTCATGTGAAAAAAGACAAAAAAAACTGCAGTTCCTCAAACGGCCACTAGAGGCCGACTCTAAAAGCAAGTCAATCCCCACAGAGCTCAGTGATAAAACGCTCACAGAGGTAATAAACATATTTACATTATATTTACTAAAAATAGTTTTGGTCTCTAAATCTAACTTTTCTATTCATGACAACTGTATGGTGGGAAACTTTTTATACAACCCAGGGATGCACAATAAATATCAGCAACCACATCGGTATCGACCGATATTGGTGTTTTTTCTGATATATCGGTATCGGTCCAATTAACAAATTTAGCCAATATGAAAAACCAATGATTATCTAACAATAACGCCTTCGTCTCTACGTTTGATATTGCTGCTATTTTACAGATGTTTTTACTTAAATGGTCCTGGATGTTAAATATGTTAAAATACAGTCGTGACTCGTTACCATCCATGTTTACTTCACTGAGCACGCTCGCTGCGTGTGACGTCGTCGTGTCCTCTTCTGCGCATGCGGGACACTTTTGGGTCGTATGAAGTTCACACAGCAGATCACATACAAGTCGCATTGAACTGGAAACGTGAAGGAAGTCACAAAGAAATCCTCATTGAGCATCAAGTCCTGCAGTGTGAACGTAGCCAATCTGTGGGATTGTTCAGTCAGATAATACGCCGTCATCCTGATTGGTGACATTAAACGTCATGTCGGAGTCAGAATCCAAGGCTGTCGCTATGTTAAGGCTGTTTTTATGGGTTCTGTTTGTTTTTTGTAAAAACCTGTCGGATAGCAGGTTTAGGATTGTTAAGGGTCGGATTATCGAGTCATGACTGTATGTTAAAATATGTTTTGTTACGTGATAAGAAGGCTATGTGGTCTATTTGGGCTTCTTTTGAACAGTTTTCACGTTCTCACAGTGCTTACTTATACTCATTTTTCGATCTGAATATCGGTTATCGGCGATATCAGAAATCTTAATATCGTGCTTCACTAATCAATACCTAAAGCCATGCAGAAATAAAGGCGTGGCCACTTTGAGTGACAGGTTGGCACCAGAGACTTTCCATGTCCTGCCTCAGCTCCACTTCTTGCTCATTTGTAGATTAACTGGGAGTCAGGCACTTCTCAGGCGGTCAGAGTCGCCACAGCGAGCCGCAAAACCACCGTTCAAGAGGTTGACACACAGGCCTGTCTATCTTCAGTAATAGCCTCCTGTCACTTTGCAGAGCGGCCTTGGGCAGACCAGGTGGGTGTGCATAATGTACATCAGCAAATTCATCATCACCGTTCACGTCCGTGTGTTCAGCACTGAGAAACGTTTAAGCAACGTTCTGACTTCAGCCCAAGCATTTGCTCTCCTGCAAGCCTCTTAAGAGCAAATGAGCAACATAAAAAGCTTAATTTAAAATGATTCATCACCGCTGGAAGGACAAGGACTCGAAACAAGCGAAGCAGCTGATCCTCCTGTTTCGTGCTCAGAGGACAGACACTGTGCAGATTCTCATCTCTTTGTGTCGTAGCTGCAGCGTGTAGTTCCTGGTCTTGGTTAGAAGGACTTTAATATATTTTTTTTCTTCTTTCTTTCTCATATCGGATGATTTCAAGGCAACTGTCGAGCACTCAGCTGAACACAATACTCCCTGTATCCCAGAGCTTTTTTGTCTTGCTCAAGATTGCATAGATTGCATTAGCATGCAGTAGGGGGTCAGTGGAGGCGGAAACACAGTCTGATTTGACTCAGAACAGCAAGCTCTTTTTGGCAGCAAATTCAAATTCAACCCACCACCCAGATGCCTCCTCTCGGTGGTCTGTGCTTACCTCGACACGGGGGGAGAAAAACTCTTCTTTAAACTTTGTGCAAAGAATTTAACTTCTGATATCAGCGACCGCGCGCCGTCGAACGTAAATGAACGACACTGAGAGCTGCTTTTGATCGACATTAGAACGCACCGTTTAAAATGGTGGATATGTTTCAGCAGACGCCTCGCTTGAAAACTCACCGTGAGCGGAGAGACAGTCTGCAGGTTTAAAATAGGAAAGAGGAAATCCTAGGGAGAAACACAGCTCCATCACAGCAACAGCACATTACGAGGAGCTGGCAGGAAACCACGGAGAGCCCGCTCTCTGCACAGCTCTCTCGCTCGGGGCGATTCTGTGGGAACTCGGATCTGAATAGAATTAAATTTTTCTCTTAAATCTGTCTGACTACCGCTGTTCTATTTGTTCCTGTAAACCGGCTCCTTCCCTCTTCTAAACTGTAACGTGAAGAAGAAACCTCGTGCTTGATTGTGTGCGGGGATTGTTAGTCTTTCTGCTCCTCCAGGACGGGATTAGTTCGACTCAGCGATAAACCACCCGGACGCCGAGCTGCAGACGCCGGTTCGCCGTCCACCTCCTCGCAGATTAGGACGTCCACGGTGCTCATTTAGCTTTAATTTCCGCACCACTCCAAACAATAAATTACAGAGTTCACGCTGCTCTGGGATGACTTATTTCACTTTGCTCTGACCCCGCAGGCCCAACATGAACCACGCACAGCAGCTCCAGGTCTCTAAACTCGAAGATGTAAGAGATCACCCAGGCAGAGGTGGAACACGGCCCAGGGGACAAGCGCCAGACTTTACAGCAGCAGGCTTCATCTGGGCTGCAGCTGCAATGGGCTGACTCAAAGAACCGCTGGCCCTCAGGTCTCTGCGGTTGTTTTCACTGGGAGCGTTTTTTATTAAGTCAGTATTTAGAAATGTTTACTCCCTCGTCCGTGTTTGTTTTAATTTCATCCGTGTGCACCGCAGCAGAAGGGTGTGTGTGTGTGTGCAGGGGGGGAGGAAGGTTTGAGACGTGCTGCTTGAACAAATAAAACCACGATGAAGTTTAATGAATTACCTGCTGCACTGCACTTTGAAACCAAAACGAGGCTGTAAAACAATGCGGTCAGAAATGCAGCTCACATGACGATGCACTGGAAGATGCAAATGAGGCAAAGTGACAATTAAAAGCTTCTATCTGCATGCACACCACTAACTAACCGGTATCTACTTGTTCCTGCTGGTGTCGACTGGCTGGAACCAAAAGAGCTGATTCATTGAATGATTTGGAGAACAATAGCTAATATTTCACAAGTAAAGAAGATGGAAGAAAGCTCAGAAAATATGTGTCCTCCTCTTCTCTGAGGCCAGTTCACTCAAAATCTTAAGAAAACAGAATTCCTGCCATCAACACTTTTTAAAAAAAAAACTATTTATTTGGCAGAAAAAGTTGTGGTCTCTGGATTACTCTGAGTAACCGATGCAACGTTTGTGAGGACCAAAAGGAAGAACCAACCTTCACTGTGGATGAACCAAAACTATCTGCACTGCTGGATATACCTTCGATCGACTTCATCTTTTCTTTCAGGTTGGGAACCAGTCATATCCAGTGACTGTTAAATGTAAAGCTCCGGGCACACTCACTGTACCCCATCAGGTGGTTCTGCAGCAACTGTAGTCCTCACTGATGGGCCAAAGTTTCCCTCATCTGCTTAGTCAGATCATTACCCCCTGGCAACAGCTGCTAGGCAAGCAAACACCTGGGAGAAAGGTCTCAGAGCGAGGATGTTGCTTCAACAACACACACCCAAAAACTGAGCTGCAGCGGTGCAACAGAAGATCTCCAGAGGTCATCGTCTCCTCTTGTGTTATTTTTAACACTTCAAACTCATCAGAAGAACAAAACTGCAGGACTTTGAATTTATCTGCAAGCTACAGTTATCTCTAAAACGGGAAAGGTGGGTGAACTGAGCTCTACAACAACCTGCAAGCCACAGCGCACCACCAGTTCCTTCTGGCGTCAAATGGCCACATCTAGTCGTCCTTTTGGCCTTTAGCTGGGAACTTCGAGTGCCTGAAATCCAGCCATGCCTGGTGTCCCTGGTCCTCTTTTTCCCATGAGCTGACAAAGGGAGGCAGGAAGTCTCCAAGGGGCCTGGCTAGACTCTAGACTCAGTGTGGCCTGACTACTGATAGTAGCCAAGATCTGACCAGTTCTCATGTTGGCAAGAAGCAAACAACAGTTGGCCACTGGACACACAAGGCTGGAGGCCACAGTGAGTTTGGGATCTGCCCACTTGAGCAAATAAACATTATTTATAGAGTCTAGCAGAAGTCGGGGAAACAAAACACCACGACGTAAAGGCTGCTTATAACTCAGATTTTGTTCTGAGTGATGATGACTGAGACTTGTTGCTGACAGATGAAACAGGGCTGTACTATTAATCATTAAGCGTGCTGCATTTTTACAACAGGACGAATCTGAATCTTGCTATTTCGCATGTTTGACACAGTAATGGAAGCTGTTGCTAAGCAGTCGGTCTCCTCTAGTCAACCACAGAACTTCAACACAATTTTTCTATTCAATATAGCAGCACTACATTCATTTGCTGTGGATTTGAAAAAGGGAGGAAGAACACGTGATCCCTTTAGATGCCGTGGTTTCCTCAGTCTTCCTCTTTTTGTGGCCGAGCAGTAAGTGAGCAGCTCTAACCCCAAACATACAGAGTTCCACTGACTCAGCATCAGTCGGTTTATTAAGTGGAAACGCATTACAGGACATCGCTCACCATTTAGCCTTAATGGCAAAACCTGTAATTGCTGCGACTGTATCACTGGAGCACGACACAGACTTGGAGGAAGAGTTAGAGATGTCTACAGGTTCATGTGAGCCGTATTTAGACACATTCGGGAACACAAATTTGCCACTGGTTCCACTGGAGTCACATCCATTCTGCTACTGCATTAATCACACTGACACGGGGACGCTTGGTCACTCCGGTCCTGGGGTCAACGAAGCATGCAACACCGCAGGATGAAGGATGGTCAGTCAGCCACCGCAAGGCCGAGAGGAGTGAGTGTGTGTTAATGGGATCCGAGGCTCTACAGACACCCGGAGAGCTTCTAACTACGACCGCCTTCACTTCGTCCGGTAGCACATCCTCACTGGAAACACACACACTCCTAACACACACTCACAAGCTCAAAAAGAAGATGTGATGAAACCATTTCAGAATGTTTGACCCGCTGCAGTCTGTTTCTGGGCCTTCAGGTCCGTTTTCAGAGGAAACGCTTCCAGAGTTCATTCAGCCGCAGCAGACAGTGAAAATTGGGGATGATGGCCCCCGTGGTTGAATACTCACCGCTGTAGAAACGGATCAAACAGCTGAGGTCTGAGTTGGCGGCTTCCTGCTGCACTCGTACGGGGTCTGCGTAGCCCATGGATGCCAGGTAGTCGTACACCATCTGGAGCGGACGCTCAGAGGGGTCCAGCCTCCTGCAGGCCGGAGACAAGGAGAGACACTGTGATGCTGATCGCCAGTTAGGCACCGACTTGTTGTAAAATAAATCTGACAGAATCTGACCAAACGGATTCAACAAAGTGCAGCGAGAAATAAACGCTCTCACAGCAGCTTCCCACCCATGAACGCTACCAGTTATGTTCAATGGGGCACCTGGCCAAGCCGAAAACACTGCTGCCAGGAATAGTACCACAATCAATGTGTTTGTAGTTTTCTAGCAAACTGGAGTTTGACCAAACCAAAAAACTGGAAAAAACAATGCACTTGTGCAAAATCCAAAAATGTTATTGGCCCTGAATCTCAATGGTTTTGTGCTGCACAAATATAGACACATGAACAATGAAGGTAATATACCAGAACCACCTCAGAACGCTCGTGTTATCAGAGCAAAGCTGTTCAAACCTTCTTCTTTGTGGAAAAGCTGCATTTCTCACTATGCTTAACACAATTAACCAGGCACATATTTATGCCTCTTCATACCAGGAACTTGTTGATTTTTTTTTCTCCGACTGTGGATTTGAGTTAATCTGAGAAAATCATGTTTTTCCAGAAGTAATCACCATAAAAACCCTGATCAGTGACACCTAACAGAATGAAAGTCAACCCTGGAAAGTCTTGGAAATACAACAGTAAGCCCAAGTTACACTTTCACTTTCAAACTGATGAGCTGAAAATGGTCCAAACAAAGGCTGGAATTAACTCGTGCTCGCTTATCTAATCACTGCTGATAACTGTTCTGAATGGCAGTCTGGGCCATCCGCTTTCAGCACTTTGAATGCACTTTCATTTTACATTCTACAGCTGGAACAACACGATAGCTGACAGTCCCTGTTGACCGTTCACACTTAGTACAGATACGCCTCATTTATTCACAAATCCTCCAGCCTTGGCCGCACAGCAAGAAGCTGACTCTCCGTCAAACAGCAACAACTGGGTTCATTCATTCTCAGAGTAGAAGTTATACAATAAACCTGATTTACTGCAGACGTACCTATTAGTGCATGTTACAGAGATGTGAGGGGTTCACTGGACCCCTGCAGCCAGACAGGTGTTCTCCCTACATTTGGCTAACGGCCAGCGAGCGAACCAGACAGGAACCAGGAGGAGCTCGGCTCCTCTTAACAGGACATGAGCTCCTCTGAAAACACGCAGTTCTCTTTTTCTTATCATCATCACATCGGCTCATGTGTAAAATTAAGCTGTTATTGATGCATGTTGTTATTCTAACTTTGCTCGGTTTGTTGGTTCTCACCTCTGTGTGACTGGTCTGACTGGCCAGATGCAGACTGTGGGAATAAGTCTGCCATTGGCTGCTCATCTCACGCAGCTTTCTTCTCCCCTTTCACTATCTGCATGTGAACATTTTCTAAATCCTCTTCACTACAGGAGACAACAACAATAACCTCCGGGCAGCAACCGACTGCACTGAAAATTTGGGGGATTTTTGAAGTTTCGGACCGTCCCTCCTCAGCTATGTTTACAGTCGGCTCATTAAGGTGCGCCTGTGGCCCAATCCAGCCTTTGTACCCACGCAGATGGGGTCATCATATAAATGTCCTGGGTCTTGTGTGGCGGCAAGCCGGGCCGCACCGCACGCATTTGTGCACTTTGACAGGCTGAAGGTTGCGAGGCCACAGTGGGCTCAGGCAGCGCTGGAGTGCACAAGGTCCGACCTGAGGGCCACATCCTGGGTCAGGACTGATGCAATCCAGGAGAGAGTTATATCTCCCACCGTGAGCCAAGTTAGAAAAGAGTATCCCTCATAAGAGAGTGAGGTGATGCAGCAACACTTTCCTCCTTGCAGGGGAAAGAATGTTGAATGGATTATGATCAGTAACTCAGTGACTCATGCATGAAGGCAGCTCATTACAAATTCACCTAAATAACGACGAGTTTTGCACGTTTATTTTGTAAATACCACAATACTTATTTCTTCGACCAGCACGATCTGCATGTTAATTGCATGTTCTTTTGTAACTGTCGTTTCTAAGCATAAAAACATAAAAACCGTGTCATTCTCACAGTGCTGATAGCATCTGTCTGGGCTGTCTGGACTGTTTTCTTCACACAAGTTTGTGCAGCTAATTCCCAGCACAGTTCCACTCAAACTTCAGCCTCAGCAGGGGTCTAATCGTCCTAAATAACTGATAATGGCTGTCCAAAGCTGACTCACATTTCAAGCACAAAATAATGCTGGAGAGGCAAAGTGCATTATAATTTCACTTTTTAAATTGTATTAGTTGGCAGGAGATGCGGCGTCTGAGCAGCCTTTAGCGAGGTTTTAGTTTCTTGCCATGAAGACCAACAGAGAGAAGGTGGTTGTCGGGATAAAAAGCAGAAAAATAGGAACTTTCCCAACCGTGCAAACGTATTAATTAGTTTCTGTTCTTGTACTGCAGTGGCACCAATATCTTGCACTTCTTGAGAGTTAAAGTTTTGAACTCAAAGCAAGAAAACAAAACATCCTGTATCCGCCAGAGTTCGCAGCACCCACCGAGGTCACACACCTTCCACCCAGGCTCTAAACTTCACCTGCATCCCTTCCTGGGTTGTACTCGTCTAAGCTACAAGGGTCACCTGACTTTACATGTCTGAGTGAGGAGCTCAGTGATTTAGGAGCTGGAAACTCCCCTGAGAGGAGCTGGTTGAAATGTCTGGCAGCCTCCCTTTGGGTAAGACAAACTGGGTGGAAACTCCGGGCATACCCTGAACACGTCGGAGGGATTACATATCCTATCTGTCCTGGGAGCACTTACGGATCCCCAAGGAAGAGTCTGTTGCTGGGAAAAAAACAGCGCCGGACCGCTTCTCTCACCCCGCTGGCACTGTGACACGGACCGGGATAGGTGGTTAAAAATGGATGAATGGCTGGACGGTATCCTCCATCAGCTCCACTGCCTCAGTAAATTCATCTTAAAAGGGAATTTGTCTGACTGAAAATACAAGCAGGAAAGAATCCAGACCATGTCTTCCTGTAAGCAGCACATTACTACAAGCTATAAAAAGAAAATCACTAAAAAAAGCTTCCAAGCCTTCCATCACGTCCCTACTACAAGCCTTCCTCTGTGCATATCTCACTGCTGTCAACAGCTTTGTTTGCCGCAGATGCTCATTTGTGCAGCACCTGTATCAATCACGATGATAGAACACTGAGGGGTAGGTTTATAAGAATGATTTACCAAAAGAACAGGCCTAAAAGCCCCTTTAAGGGTAAAAATAAATGCCTCTGCCTCATGTATTTTCCATGAACGTATGCCCTTTATTCAGTGTAATGCATTTAATGCAACCTTGACTTGCCTTTACTTTACTGTATGTGCTGTCTGTCTGGAGAAGAGGTTTTTTTCTCCTTTGCACTTCTCTTAAGTTGCCAATGGCCTGTTTTTTTTTTTTTTTTGAAAGTTGAAGACTTTAATATTAAATTTAAATCCACCTGGTCGTACTCGCTGGCAGAGTGAACCAACGCAGCCTATCCACGGGCTTACAGAAAGCCTTTCATTTATTACCAGACTGCATTACTGCGCAGTGCCTACAGCTTTCAATCAGCAGCAACGACAGAAAAAAAAAAGAAGTCGTCTCTACCATTGGCTAGCAGCCTACGACGGGATTAAACCGACCTCCAGTCGGGTTTCCAGCTCAATATCTGCAGCACCGTCTTCCTGCAATTAATGCTTTCTAAGGATTCACAGCATAAATGCATCTGTTTACGTTTTTGCTGGTTTAGTACGATCAGCAACTGGACAGAATGAACCACAAGAGATCTAAGCTATAGCTCTTATTTTAGGGTCTCCTTTCTAATATTTTCACACAGGAGAGAAACGGAGGAACTGATTCACTTCCTGGTTATGGATCAGCGATTCAGTCTTTCATCCTTTCCCAGCCAATCAAAGGGTCATTTTTCTGTTTGGGTCGACGCTGGTCTTGTGGAGGTGAGACAGGCATCCGGTCATGTTCCCTGAAGGTGTCCTCGGTGAGGGAGTTTGGGGTCGCCAAAGCAGGTGATGTGCTCTCTGCATTAACTCAGGCTTGTTCGAGGCAATATTCACAGAGATATAAAGAGATAAGAAGAAAAAACAGACAAAAACAGAGAAACAAACCTTCACAAAACCCAAGAAAACACACTCTACCAAACTCAACCAAACTCAAGTTATCTCAATTCTACTCAGTCAGACCCACTCAGACCCACTCAGATTCAGACCAACTCAAACAAACAAAAACAAAAAAAAAAAAAACAAAAATCCGCAAAACCGAAAAAACTGCAAATGAACCAAACAAACACTCCAGATATTAGATAAAGAGAAAAACAACAAAAAAACCATTACACCCAGATCAAACAGATGTGCTTTCACTTCAACCTATGCAGCTGTCTAAACGAACGGCGTAACATCTCGCGTTTCACTTGCAATATACTCGCACGCTTCCTTTTATGCTTCGAGTCTTTTTTTTTCAGTTATTTAATACGCGATTATACTTTAAGCTGTGAGCTGCCAAATGCTCCAGAGCGCACACAGATACTGCGCTGAATAGATCCAATGAAGACACAGCTGCGGGAACGGCAGCTGTCGGACGCATGTGTCGGCACATGCAGGCGAACTCGTGTAGGTTAAACCCACGTGTTCTCTGAAAGGGACGGAGGTATTTGGAGAGCCGGTTTGATTATTGCGGAGGTATTTTTGTGCCAAAGTGTTTGCACGGCTCAAACACAAAAGGGCAACCTAAGAATAAGTTTTAGGACTTGTTGCGGCGTGCTCTTACCTGACGAGGTCTCCGTGCAGCTGGACGTAGAGTCCCTGTCCGTCCCTCTGGGCGCACAGCTCCTCCACCGTGGTGTTGGTGGAGCAGAGCACCAGCTGCAGGTCCGTCTGAGGGGTGGAGGAGGCCTGCGGGCCGGAGGCAGGCGGCTGGGGGTCCACCGTCCCCCCGTACAGGCACACGCAGCCCCGCTGGGTGTCCCCCTTCAGCCAGTCTCGCTCTCGTGATCCGAATCTGGTCTTCCTCGTCACGCAGCTCCGACTTCCATTCCGCTTCATGTTGCGCTGCTGACAGAGAAAGAGTCTTTCTAACACAAATCCTAATCAGATGCATATCAGCGTTAACAGCCCCGGGGGGCCCGATGGCGTCCTGCATCACAACATCTGTGCTGCTGGTTAACAATCAGATCTTAGTAACTCGTTAGGTGTGGTTTTAAGAGCTTGTTATCGAGTTAAAGATGTCACGACTCGGCATCTCGGCCTGCAGCCACAAGCAGCCCTGTCCATAGGTTCAGAACAACCTCTAATGTTTTATTCAGCCTTACCTTTCTCTCTGAGGAGCGACTCTGTGAATGCACCACTAACAGCAACCACACATTCATGTTGTTGTTGTTGTTGTCCTCATCACTTGTGATTATTTTAGCCGCTGCAGTAGCCCAAAGGTTTTTCTTCAAAATGATGCAACGCTAGATTATCTAACACTGACACGAATAAAACATCAGCTGCTCGTGAAACTCTGCAGTTAGCAGCACAATAAAGACATTATGGGAGGTCAACTACAGAGCTAACGACATGCTTGTAGTGGACGGACACTGAGGCACACCCATGCACTATAGAGCTGCTGGAGTCGGTCAAAGATGCACCTTGAACACATGTTTTTAGAGAATGTTCATAGATTTCTTTTTTTAAATTTAGTTTAGTTGGTAGTTTATATTTCTTTAAACCAATTTGAATGAGTGGAGC